CTTTAAGCAAACTTCAAGATGTATTTGTAATTTACCCTAATTAATAATAAGGGTAAATAAATACAGTTAGCTTCATATTTTTTTTGGGTACATAATTAGACTAATCTCTATTTTAATAAGATTAAAATGATCAAAATTAATGTAAATAGTAGGTAGATATAAATTGTTTCTTGTGATTCTAAAAATTACAAATACTTTATTATCAGAATTTTTTATTTAATAAAATTAAAAGAAAAAATGAAATTCATAACCACTTTTCTATACAATGATAAAAATATATAAATTATTAATTGAAATATATTTATAATATCATTAAAAAGAATTAATTGAATTGATAATTTATTAATAAAAAAAAAATCATTTGTTATGCAATTAAAAAGTTAAAAGAATGAAATCTAAGTTTTAAAATTACAAAGAACAATTTGTATTTTAAATAATTTTTAGAAGATATATCTACAATTTACTCTTTTCAAGACCCACGCCACCCTCAACCCCCAGTAGATCAAATCGAACCCTTCTCAATTCACTACCCTCAACCCCCTGTAGATCAAATCGAACCCTTCTCAATTCATGATCTGTACTTATTTCAAATGATTTATTGAATTATAGTTATTTTAATTTTATCATTGAATTTTTAATAGTGTCACTACAACAAAATGTACCTTTGGCGATCAAAATTGGCGACAAAAAAAATTTAGTCGCCAAAAGTTATGGAATTGGCGACTAAAATATTTTTAGTTGGCAAAAGTAAAATATTTAGCTACTAATTTTTTTAGAGGGGGTATATTGGTTATTGGCGATAGAAAAAAATTTAGTCGCTAAAAATGCTAGAATTGGCGACAAAAATATAATTTTGATCGCCATATATTGAGTTTTGGCTACTGAAACCATTTAGTCGCCAACTAAAAAATAAAAAATAAAAAATTATTTTTTACCTTTGGCGACCAAAAAGTCTATTTTCAGCGACAAAAAATAAATTTGGTCGCCGTATATTGAGTTTTGGCTACTAAAACCATTTAGTCGCCGAATAAAAAATAAAAAATTATTTTTTACCTTTGGCGACCAAAATTTTGGTCGCCAAAAGTCTATTTTCAGGGACAATATAAATTTAGTCACCGTATATTGAGTTTTGACTACTAAAACCATTTAGTCACCGAATGGAAAATAAAAAATTATTTTTTACCTTTGGCAACCAAAATTTTGGTAGCCCAAAGTTTGTTTTCAGCGACAAAAAGAATTTTTGTTGCCAAAGAACTAAAATGTTTTGGAGTGAGACATTTCAAATATTTTGGAGGGATTTATAAATTACTTTCAGCGACTAAAAAATTTTAGTCGCCAATAACCATTTATATAAAATATCTCATGCTCTCACCAAACCAAACCAAACCCAACCCAAACCCAACCCAACCCTGAACAAAACTAATGCCTCTCTTTCTCTCTCTCCAGCGTCCTCCCTCTTCCTCATCTCCCCTCCATCATTTAACGCCGCTCCTTCTCGCATTCGCTGACAACCAGATCACCGATTCACCTCCTTGTTGGTCACCGTCGCCTGAGATCCTCTCTCTCCCTCTCGGCTCTATTTTTCTGTCTCTCTTTCTTTCACTATTCACTCACAAAAACCCACAGAGCTTCACATACACGCAAACACATGGGTTTTCCAAATAGTCAGAAGGTATGATTTCTAATGCATAAGAGCATCTCCAACGGTTGAACAAAATTTTCACCAAATTTGAGTAAAAAAAAGCCAATTTTCTCATTCTGATACTAACAGCTCCAACCGTTCACTGTAGCGTGCATCAAACAGAGAGGGTTGTCCGGGGAGTCGACCGGTAAGAGCAAATTTGAAGTTTTTGCCTTTATTTCTGTTGCTTCAAAAAAATGCTAAGGTGGTCGACCGGGTGGTCAACCCCCTAGTGTAAGATTTTCACAAATTTCTGCTTTAAAGCGGTTATCCGATGGGACATCCGGCCAGACGTCTGGCCGGACGTCCAGTGGGTCAAACTCAACGGCTATGCACAATGAATTGGTGAAAGGGGCAAGCCGTCCTCAGTTTGGTGAAACGTTTGATGTTTTCTCAATTTGATACTGTTTTGGTGTAACCGTTGGAGCACAAAAAGCACATTCTTTTCATCAAATTTGAATTTGATGTTGGAGTTTGTGAACGATTGGAGATGGATTAATACTCTATTGGGTCATTCACTTTTTGCTCTAATTCAAGCTTTCCATTAATGGGTTCCATCCCATTCTTCGTGCGATTGCTGGTGTGGGTGTGCTTGCGGTTACAACAAGCTCTAGCTGATCGTGTTCGGAAATAAGTATGGTTCTGGGGGAGGCTAATAGGAGGACAGTCGACAATTAGTTTCCAATTGCGTGGGATGGGTATTATTTTTTTCCAAGTGTTATTGTTCTATTTCTGCTTCTTTTACAATTGAACTTGGAGGATATAATATATTTTTTTGAAGGACCACTTTGAAGTCGTAAAATAGTTTGTGTTTGATTCATATTAAAAATGATAATGGCCTAACATTTTGTTTGGCTCAAAACATTGGTCATGGTGTTTTATATTTTTTTGGGGGAATGTTGGTGAAATTGAATAACTTTGTCCATGTAGCCATTGTTGGTTTTTAATCTATGTAGCTACTTTCCTTTCTGCTATCAACTTGAACACATGATTTCACTATCTCGCCTGTTAACTATTTGGTAAATTGCATGAACTTTCAAAGCCATTGTCTTTTCATTTTCCCTTAAATTTCCTGTTCTATTTTCACACTATATATATATATATATATATTCCTGGAAACTAATATAGTGTGTTTAATGAGCTCCACCTTTTACTGCAAATATGATGTGAATAGTCATTAATATGCCTATTGCTTTTGTTTTTGCAGGCACGCATTGAATGTCCAAATATTCCTTAAGATGCATAGATCAGATTATGCGGAAAAACAGTTGAGGATCATGCAATAGATTGATGAGGACCATACAGTAACTCAACTTGGAAATGCATGGCTAAACTTGGCCGTGGTACATACCCATTCTCAATTTCTAAAGTCAAATAAGGAATTGTTGATTTTTATGTTCAAATATATTGGTATGTAAATCAGGGTGGATCCAAGATACAGGAAGCATATCTCATTTTCCAAGATTTATCAGATTATCAGTTTGATCCTGAATGGAAAGGCCGTGTGCTGCATGCATATGGGAAATTTTGATGAAGCTGAGTCACTATTACTTGAAGCACTAAACAAGGTAAGTTTAAAATTGCCTTCGTACCTACATGTCATTTGCAGTGATTGGGACGAAACATCAAATTGTTATTGACATTTGCTAAATATACTTGATTGCATTCATAACATTCAATGTTCAAGAAATTGAATTGACCAAATTGATTCTAGATTACTAATTATTCCCCTCTCTATAGTAGTCCAATTATTTCATTGATATCGGCTGAAGTGATCCCATATTTGCCCACAATTACTACACAATGCCTTTCAGAATCCCAATTTTGTCACCGTATTTTAGACTTGCACTGGGGAGGCTTGCACATATTTGTGAATGGTCTTCCAAAACTCATGATCTGAACTCCAATCATCAGGGTTTGATCTTTTTACGTGTTGATCTATGATACTTCCTTAACACGAGGGCCACAGTTTGACTTGCTTTAGGGGGAATTTTGAGTTTCCCTGCAACCATCTTGTTAAATTAAGTGACTTTGAATGCCTAATATGATTCTGACTAGTTAAGCCATTCAAACAAACCCAGGAAGTTTAAATGGTTGTCCTGTGAATTGATCTAGTGGGTATAACCATGATGATCGGTGTGCAACTATGATCAGATAATTTCTTGTACCAATAGTAAAAGACAAAACATGCCATTTGGTGGAAATATTGGTTTATTTTAGTGTGTTTTGTTTTCATGTTGATAAAAGTGAAGCCTAGTATATTTCTATGGGATTATATAGTCCTACTATATTTCTATGGGAATTGCATGCCCATGAAAATCCATATATAGTTATTACAATTTATTACAACAGAACTCCTTTCCTGGAAAATTGTGAATTGCCACTACAGGAATTACAGGTTTTGACGACGTTTCTTTAACGACGTTTTATGAAACGCCACATTTTATACTATTTAATGGCATTTTTTAACCGTCGTTTTTGTTCAATATTAAAACGGCACTGTTTAACTATTTGAAGGCGTTGAAAAACGTCTTCGAATGCCCTCTCTCTAGCGAGCTGGTAAATACACTCGTTCACTCATCAGGAGGATGCCCTAACATTTTACTCACTGATCAGTCTATCGTTCGCTCTCTCTCTCTCTCTCTCTCTCTCTCTCTCTCTAAACAGATGCCCTAATCTCTTCCAGCAGAAATCAAAGGATCGGTTTCGATTTTGATTTCGAAGTTCCTTACGCCTTCTCTGATTTCGATTTCATCTGAATCTCTGATTTCGATTTCGATTTCGAAGCTCCACCGCCACCACCATCTACACCGACGAGGTAGGTGAGTTCTCTCTCTCTCTCTCTCTCTCGCAACCCTCTCTAAACGCTTATCATTCGCAGAGATTCAGATCGGTCTCAATGATTTCATCTCAGAGCGATTTCGATTTCGAAGATCCAAAATACCATCTGCACCATCGTCTACTAAGGTGAGCTCCATCGTCTCTCTGTCTCTCTTTGAAACTCTTCATTTCGAAGCCTATTTCAGTGTTGTAATGAAAACATCTCTCTCAATTAATCTCTAAACACTTATCATTCGCAGAGATTCAGATCGGTCTTAGTGATTTCATCTCAGAGCGATTTCGATTTCGATTTCGAAGCTCCACCTCCACCACCATCTGCACCATCGTCTACTAAGGTGAGCTCCATCGTCTCTCTGTCTCTTTGAAACTTTTCATTTCGAAGCCTATTTTAGTGCTGTAATGAAAACATCTCTCTCAATTCATCTCTAAACACTTATCATTCGCAGTGATTCAGATCGGTCTTAGTGATTTCATCTCAGAGCGATTTCGATTTCGATTTCGAAGATCCAAAACACCATTTGCACCGTTGTCTACTAAGGTGAGCTCCATCGTCTCTCTGTCTCTCTCTGAAACTCTTCATTTCGAAGCCTATTTCAGTTCTGTAATGGAAACATCTCTCTCAATTCATTATTATGATCTTCAATAATAATGAATCGTGATGAAGGAATTTGGTGACAAGAGTCAATGGCTATTGAGAACAACATTTCAAAAGGCAAAAGGCCTTTGTGATATTGGTAGAAGCTTTTAGAATTTTAGATGTTTAAGTGATAGGGAATATCATAATCAACCGTTTCCTGCCAGAATGTAGCTTTTCAAAGAATGATATGTTTTGGAGTACAATAGTAGAAGTGCTTCTTTATTTCATGCAAGTACTTGGACTGTCTTTACCATCATAAATTTATTTACCTGTTCATCACTCCTTAATTACTGTGAACACTTTTAATCACTTCTTAATTGATGTGAAAGCTTTTGATCACTTCTTAATTGTTGTGAACGCTTTTAATCACTTCCAAAGAAAATACAGATCATTTGAATTTGTTGGGTTAATTATTTATCATATATGGCTTAGTAGCTTCAACATCTGTTATCTGTCCAGGGCCGTGAATCATTCGTTTCATATGAAAGTCTTGAGCAGCTTCACCGTTTCTTGTTTGTTCTTGGTGTTACCCATGTATCATATAGCTTTTTTGCCATTGCCTTTGCCATGATCAAAGTCAGTGTTTCTTCTTCAAAATGTATCATCTTTCTGTATCTTTGGAACTTTTCTTCTCAAGAGAGCCCTAAGATTTTTCTTCTTGTACATGCAGATTTATAGCTGGAGAACATGGGAAAATCAAGCGAAGTCGATGGCTCCGCAGGAACTAAAAGGTGCGAAAAGTTTTATAGGGGTGATTTTGTTCTTCTCCTTTTTGAAGTACCCTTTATCTTTTAAGAGTTTAGTTCAGATGTTCTTCATTAGAAAATTTCTATCATGCCATATTGAAATTTTAATCTAGGTTCCCCGCAATCTGCCTCAAACCACACAAAAATGAGGCGACTATCAACTTTCATTTTTCACCACACATCCCATCCATGGAGCCAGCATAGAGTTCTTGCTTAGGTGGTAATGCACCTTTTTAAATTATTGTGTCTTTGCGATGTTAAAATGTGTCATTTTTGTTGTTGTTGTTATTTATCTATTCAATTGGGAAATGAATTTGCTGGTATACTACTAAACATCCTAAAAATGTGAAAATGCAGCTCAAGTAATGATTAGCTGAGGGTCTTACTTGAACATGCTTCCAGTTGCTTTGGGGTGGTAAAATGAATATGAAGCCTAAGAGAAGTTGTAGCTGCTGAAAGACGACCTAGGGCATTCAATATGAAAGGATAAAAAGGGCTTCTTGTTGTAAATATGATCATATTTCTTGAGAAGGAAAAGTAAATGCATTTTGTTAGGTACTGATGGTCACAAATGGTTTAGATGATTAGATAAGAAAGATTAGTGTACCATGCGGATAAAATCATCAAAAAATAATTAGGATATGGTTTGTGGTTCCCTTGAACTTGAATGGCTCCATAGGCTTGTTAGATAAAATTTAAATAAAGAATTTTATCTTCTTGAATAGAACCCTAGGGGAAAGTAGGTAAATTCTCCACAATTTCTAATGTGTATGTACTTTCCCGTTTTCTTGGAATTACAGAATTCAATATCCATGTGGAGTAAATAGTTACTAATAGTGTCTTCTATCTGATAAGTTCAACCTGGAGTAGTTCTTTATGAGAGCCATCACTTTACTCAGTTAAGCAACCATCTTTAAATTAAGACATTAGACTTTACTAGGCAACTCATTCCCATTTCCCAGTCGAAGTCCTTGAGAAACTTCCAGGAGATGGCAATATTTCTGTTTTACAACTTGGTATTGTGGAGGAGTAATTACACAAGTTATGGTTTAAGAAAATTTGTATGGTGAAAACAGAAAAAAACAGGCAAAATTATAACCAAACAGGCATGAATGATGATTCCCTTTCTGGCTTGTTCAACAAAGTATACGCTCCTTAGAATGTTAGACAGCCTAGATCGGTTCTGACTCTTCATGGTTCGATGAGGCATACTATTTTTACAATGAAATGCTATATATTAAGTGAATGGTACAATAAATTCAAGACGATGCCCAAATATCCGTTCAAGGCTTCAATTATAGGATTCTATTATTTAGTTCAGAATAATTCACTCTGTTTCTTTTATTTTATAGAGTAGAAACATTTCTTGAATCAGATGACAACCAGTGACACGGAGTCTTCACCTTGCACACTTGTGTATGTGTACACTGTCATCACATTTTCTTAGTTAGATTATGTGCTTTTACATTCAATTTAAATTGTTTCACAACCATTCAGTTTTGTACTAATGAACTCTTTAATTATATTGCTTTTATCTCTTGGTTTTTGGTACTCTTGGTTGCTTTTTATAGTTATCAGTTTGCCAAGTGAGTTCAGAATTCAAACTCAAGCTATTTCAGTGTACAGCTTTGTTTCAGCCGCCAGTTTTGGAGTTCCATTAATCGAGCTGACTACATGGCCTTGCGCTTGGGCTTCATTACTGTAAGCATATTTAAATGGATCCTTCCCACCTATATATTTTCATTGTGGACCATCAGAACTGGTTGATCAAATGCAGATTGCAGATTTCTGTCTCTCTCCGAAACTCTTTATTTCGAAGCCTATACTCTTGACTAGTTCTAGGTTTGTATCAAACCAGCAGTCACTTTTTAAAATGTATTTAAAATGGCTAAAAAACTATAAAGAAACAGAGGATATATTTAAAATGTATGATCATCGTTATTATTTTCGGTGTAATTGTTCAACAATATGATTTTATTTTGCATTTCATGTACCTGCCAACCATGATATGTTTGATATAGAATCAGATAATCCTTTTTATTATATAAACTAAGTTCTACTATATGGTTGCTGTAATTTATTTGAACTTTTGAGACATTACTTCTTGCAACATATAGGATGTAGATACACCATAGTGATAGCATATTGCAATTTGTTTGTTTTTTTTTACAAGAAGCAGAACCAAGTGACAGAAAGATTGGAAAACTGTGTGAATATGCTGCAAAAAATCCTTTATGTATATCCAAGGTACTATCTGATTCTTTTGGAGATTCTCATAATAACAAGTTTCCTTCAGTCATTCTATGTTAATTTTTTTATGGTAAACCCAATGAAACATATAAGTAATGTACAAAGACACAATTTGAATTATTGTTATTGACTTGTTTTCTATCTATGTTCTCTTCACACAGCGCTATGCTATGCCATGCGTTATTGTATATGATGAATTTGATTATGTGGTGATATATGAACACTTGGCCTATGTTGACTCAATTCAGACCATTTATTCAATAAATCAACCTTATTTTCACTCAGTTTGACCTTTAGTCACCCAAACTCGAGCTGGGTTCTCTGTATGTGTCTCTTGACAAAAGAAAGAAAGTGTTTTTGACTCAATTCAGACCATATTTTAAATAAAGCTTTGGAAATTGATATGGAGACTCAAACTTTAGCTGGGCTATCTCTGTTTCTTCACTATGCCCAATATTTTAATGTGATCACACAGCTTAGCTTTATATGGATTGGTCTATGTAAATTGTAACCTTAACTGACAAAAATTAGGAATTGTTTTAATATCGCTTTATGAGTCCAATAAACTTGAGCTTACCCACAAAAGGAAATCATGAGAAAAGGATATCTGAAGAATTAATTGTTTGCTATAGCAGCATATGGACTGATACCAGTATCAACTCAACTGCTTGCTTTGAATTAATTGGCAGCCTAACTAGGTGTTTTGAGCCTCTTGATTGACTAAACAAATTTGTTTCAACAAAAAAATTTAGTTTGTAGCCAGAATCGCTAGATTATAGGAGTCTCAATCTCAGTCTCGCTAAGGACCTTAAACAAGAATTGAGTAGGATCTCATTTTTAGTGTCTATGATATGTGGCTTTATTTTTTTTTTAAGCTAATTTATATACAAGGGGGAGAGGGAAAACTTGGCATGATAGAACCAAGAGCAATGAGGAATAGTCCAAGCATAATGCTGATGATGAATGGTCTAAACACAATGCTTGAAATATGACTTATATTGTGTTCCATGAATTGTTCTCCTACTGCTCTCCCATGGCAGGCAGGCTATAATCCTATAATTCATACTTTTGCCTTCGTGATGGAGAATGTGGAGGCAAATAATCACCCATGAGTAAATTGCATGAACTTTCAAAGCCATTGTCTTTTCATTTTCCCTTAAATTTCCTGTTCTATTTTCACACTATATATATATAGATATATTCCTGGAAACTAATATAGTGTGTTTAATGAGCTCCACCTTTTACTGCAAATATGATGTGAATAGTCATTAATATGCCTACTGCTTTTGTTTTTGCAGGCATGCATTGAATGTCCAAATATTCCTTAAGATGCATAGATCAGATTATGCGGAAAAACAGTTGAGGATCATGCAATAGATTGATGAGGACCATACAGTAACTCAACTTGGAAATGCATGGCTAAACTTGGCCGTGGTACATACCCATTCTCAATTTCTAAAGTCAAATCAGGAATTGTTGATTTTTATGTTCAAATATATTGGCATGTAAATCAGGGTGGATCCAAGATACAGGAAGCATATCTCATTTTCCAAGATTTATCAGATTACCAGTTTGATCCTAAATGGAAAGGCCGTGTGCTGCATGCATATGGGAAATTTTGATGAAGCTGAGTCACTATTACTTGAAGCACTAAACAAGGTAAGTTTAAAATTGCCTTCGTACCTACATGTCATTTGCAGTGATTGGGACGAAACATCAAATTGTTATTGACATTTGCTAAATATACTTGATTGCATTCATAACATTCATTGTTCAAGAAATTGAATTGACCAAATTGATTCTAGATTGGTAATTATTCCCCTCTCTATAGTAGTCCAATTATTCATTGATATTGGCTGAAGTGATCCCATATTTGCCCACAATTACTACACAATGCCTTTCAAAATCTCAATTTTGTCACCGTATTTTAGACTTGCACTGGGGAGGCTTGCACATATTTGTGGATGGTCTTCCAAAACTCATGATCTGAACTCCAATCATCAGGGTTTGATCTTTTTACGTGTTGATCTATGATACTTTCTTAACACGAGGCCCACAGTTTGACTTGCTTTAGGGGGAGTTTTGAGTTTCCCTGCAACCATCTTGTTAAATTAAGTGACTTTGAATGCCTAATATGATTCTGACTAGTTAAGCCATTCAAACAAACCCAGGAAGTTTAAATGGTTGTCCTATGAATTGATCTAGTGGGTATAACCGTGATGATCAGTGTGCAACTATGATCAGATAATTTCTTGTACCAATAGTAAAAGACAAAACATGCCATTTGGTGGAAATATTGGTTTATTTTAGTGTGTTTTGTTTTCATGTTGATAAAAGTGAAGCCTACTATATTTCTATGGGATTATATAGTCCTGCTATATTTCTATGGGAATTGCATGCCCATGAAAATCCACATATAGTTATTACAATTTATCACAACAAAACTCCTTTCCTGGAAAATTGTGAATTGCCACTACAGGAATTACAGGTTTTGACGACGTTTCTTTAATGACGTTTTATGAAACGCCACATTTTATACTATTTAATGGCGTTTTTTAACCGTCGTTTTTGTTCAATAATAAAACGGCACTGTTTAGCTATTTGAAGGCATTGAAAAACGTCTTCGAATGCCTTCTCTCTGGCGAGCTGGTAAATACACTCGTTCACTCATCAGGAGGATGCCCTAATCTTTTACTCACTCATCAGTCTATCGTTCGCTCTCTCTCTCTCTCTCTCTCTAAACAGATGCCCTAATCTCTTCCAGCAGAAATCAACGGATCGGTTTCGATTTTGATTTCGAAGTTCCTTACGCCTTCTGTGATTTCGATTTCATCTGAATCTCTGATTTTGATTTCGATTTTGAAGCTCCACCGCTACCACCATCTACACCGACAAGGTAGGTGAGTTCTCTCTCTCTCTCTCTCTCTCTCTCTCTCTCTCTCGCAACCCTCTCTAAATGCTTATCATTCGCAGAGATTCAAATCGGTCTCAGTGATTTCATCTCAGAGCGATTTCGATTTCGAAGATCCAAAACACCATCTGCACCATCGTCTACTAAGGTGAGCTCCATCGTCTCTCTGTCTCTCTTTGAAACTCTTCATTTCGAAGCCTATTTCAGTGTTGTAATGAAAACATCTCTCTCAATTAATCTCTAAACACTTATCATTCGCAGAGATTCAGATCGGTCTTAGTGATTTCATCTCAGAGCGATTTCGATTTCAATTTCGAAGATCCAAAACACCATTTGCACCATTGTCTACTAAGGTGAGCTCCATCGTCTCTCTGTCTCTCTCTGAAACTCTTCATTTCGAAGCCTATTTCAGTTCTGTAATGGAAACATCTCTCTCAATTCATTATTATGATCTTCAATAATAATGAATCGTGATGAAGGAATTTGGTGACAAGAGTCAATGGCTATTGAGAACAACATTTCAAAAGGCAAAAGGCCTTTGTGATATTGGTAGAAGCTTTTAGAATTTTAGATGT